CTTCAATTCTAACCATAAGAAAGCTTAGCAAGAAATATAAAATTTAACATAAAAAATAACTAATTATTTTATTTTTGTATTTTTTATTCATAAAATTTTAACTTCACATAAGAACTATTTTTTCGATTTTATGTATGTATTTATTTAATAAATATAAAAAAAAATATTAATTATTTTCTTCTTTCCGGATATGATAATCTTTAAAACAATTGCTTCTACCCTTGCTACAACATAAGGGAACATTATATTTAATACAATAAATCTGCGATTGTGGTGGATTCTTAGGTGCCTTCATATTATTATTAATATTCGGGAGTTTTTTTTTCATTGTTTTCATTTTCATTCTTTTCATTACACATTTTTTTCACCAAGTACCTGCACCACATGCAACTATTTCTTTGTTCTCACTATTCAGGTAAATGACCATCCGGAGATAACCTCAATAAGGAAAGTTCAAAATTATTTGTTATATACCGTTTTGTTGAATGATCATCATTTTTATCATTAAATCGTACTAATTTTTCAACTCGGCTTCGTGTATTTGGTTTTTTCGTCTGACTGCTTTCTTCCATACTCGCATTAATCAAATCCTATACTAGCTAAATTCAAAAATCTTTATAGTTAATATTCTTATTGCTTTGTTTAAAAATTAAATAGGAATTGACAATTGAAGTATCCAATAACCAGTAAAACAATGGCACCCAAGTTCTTCTTACTGGTAATTGAATGCCGTAATACCCACGAAGCTGATCGGCTATGTCTACTCCACCCATGTTATGGTTATAATCATCAATCACACGAGGAATTGGTAAGGCTTTTTTACTTGCAGCACCAAAAACTGCTCGCACTTTTTTTGCATTGGTGCTGGTTTCTCAAGGTCGACGTCTAATTCTTTCAACTCTATTTTCATTCCCAGTAATTTCGTAAATAGTTGTTAACATGGTTACTGGACCGTTGTCCATCCATAAAAGAGCTAAAACGTTATCAACTACTACCCCAGATAATGTATCCCACTCTAGTTTTTTATCTGTTTTAAGAACTTTTGGAAATTTTGCACGATTTGTTCTAACTATTCCACAAGCTCCAAAATTTTTATTGCGCAGGTATTGAAAAAGACTAATAGATGAAAAAAAGTTGTCCATATAGATATTAAAAGATTTATTTAAGGGTAATTGGGAAACAAGATGATAAACTTCATTTCTGACTTTATTTAAATTAGAAATTTGTTTTACTTCGGGATGATTTTGGATTTGTGAAGTAAAAATAGAAGTATATGTATAACCTGCATCACAAAGAGATAGAATCTTATATCTCTTCGATGTGGGCTTGTTTTTGATTCTTACTGTATGCATGCTACGACCTGAAAACTGTACAATCATTTCATCAATCGATAAATTAGATGATGGAATACAAATTAATTTGGAAATTGTTTGAATATGGCTTGCTAGTGGGTCTAGTTTAGAATACCAATACAAAGGCAGGACATTACAGTCAAAAATATGTATAAACCGTTTAATCTAAATTAAAAAAAAATTAAATAAAAAAATTAATAAAAAAATAAATAAAATTAAAAATTTAATAATTTTTAAATAATTCGAATGTAAAAAAAAAATTTATTAAAAAAATGTACTTGCTCAAAACGAAGTAATGACATAAAAGTTGTTATTTTGTGCTCGGAAAATCTATCATCTCTATTCTAGTAATCTCTAATACTAGGTAATTTAAAAATACCAGTATATATTAAAATCGCTAACCAAATTTTAAGTTCTCCTACAGTTAATTTTTCCCATCTATGACCTTCCTCTGCACCTTTTATATAGGCATATTCATTAGTATTCTGGACTATCGTGCTTATTTGTTCAGATGAAAAAAAGAGGCTAAAAATTAAATATGGAGATGATAATGCAAATTCATATTTAGTAGGTAAGTTTAAAGTAAATTCATGTGTTGGGCGCAAATGTTGAAACATATTAAAAGAAGGGGGAGAAGGAAGTTGTATATTTTTGACTTCATAATTTTGACTATTACCACTGCTATGACCACGACCACGACCACGGCCACGACCATGACTACAAGCACGACCACGACCATGACTACTATCATGGCTTTCAATTCTTTCATCTTCGAGTTGATCGTCTTGAGCATCATAATTTTCGTCTTCGTCTGATTCATTTTGCTCATAATTTTCATGAGTATTATGCGATAATTCAACAATATATTCGTAATCATCGTTCTGTTCGTCAGAAATTGAGGTTTCCATTAAAAAATGCAATAAAAAAAATTTAAGAAAAAAAAAAAAGTTTTGAATAAAAAACGTCTTACATGGGAAAATTTTAAAGAAATTCTTAGACAGCGCTTTTTGAAACAATGGGTAAGTATTTAATTAAATTAATTAATTAAATATGTTAACAGAATGCAAATCAATATTTAACTAATGCAAAAAATTGATTGGACGATTTTTGTAAAGAAATATAAATCGATCTACATCCAAATTTAGAAATCGCAGGCAAATTTGCCTGCAAAACTGTTTAAGGGATAATCTGGATATGCTTCATCCAGGTAGTCCTTCATGGACTCCTTAAGTGTATTCTGGGAGGGATATATGTGGTGCGGAAAGAAACGCTTTACTACGTTTGTATACACGTCCTAAATTTTAAGACATCAGCTTAGATATACCTTTAAAACTTATAGTTAGACTAAACCACTTATTTCCAACACTTGGTGAGAAAGATCATTGGTGCGCTCTCTCCTTTGCTATTGTAATTTGGCTTTGACTTCCCTTATGTCATTACGAAGTTTCTGGACTAGGATGTACAATACGCGATTTTGGGCGAAAAGCCGTTCATCAACAGCGCGGCAGCTACTACGTGATCATTCTTCAATTCAAAAGGTTTGTTTAAAAAAAAAAAAAAACTTTCATAAAAAAGAAAAAAAAAAACTTTTATAAAAAAAAATCTTTCATAAGAAAGAAAAAAAAAAACTTTCATAAGAAAGAAAAAAAAAATACAAAAGTACGGCATTCAAAAGTAAAAAAAAAAAAAAGACATATATAGATTTACTATCTAAATTTCGTGACTGATTTTGATTGGCTGATCATTTTTCTTGTGATCTATCTTGTAATTTACCTCATTCACGAAAACGGTGCTGTTGTGATAAAAAACTATCTCTATTGTTATTTGGGGATAATTGTCGAGAACAAGAGGGCTGGCGGGAAGGTTGGATAGATTGTGATGGTTGGCGAGAAGGTTGGATGGATTGTGATGGTTGGCGGGAAGGTTGGATGGATTGTGAGGGTTGGTGTGATTCTGAAGGTTGGTGTGATTCTGAACGATGTGTTGAGGACCTTTGTGATTGAGTTTTCATCTTAGAAAAAGTACTATGAACGCTATAAATGCTTTTTGCTGTATCTGAAGAATTATCAGAATTATTATTAGTAGCCGAAGTTTTTGTATTAAACGATTGGGAGCGAGGGTTATTGGATGGTGAAGCATTTTTTGGGGAGCTTATTTCCAAAAAAAATGTTTTACCTTCAATATTAGAAATCTACTATATTTATATATTTGCAAACTTTCATAAAATTAGAATCTAATGCAATATAACAATAAAGTATATAAAGTATGTAAAGTATGACAAATGAAAAAAGTATACTTATCTTATTTTTTTGTCATTATATTTTAT